GAGAAACGAGGAAGTGGTGCACACAATGAAACACTAAAATCTAATGGAGTTGACTACAATGCAACCTAGCAGCGAGTGGCGCCTGATTTCCTTCTACGTGTTGTGGCGGTCTCAGCCCACCTTAAGGCGCGGCTCTGATCGCCATGTGACTTAATGTATGCCCATTCCCATAGCTGAACATCAAGACCTATCTGTCGGTCTGTGGGTCAAACAAACCTTGCCATCTCGTTTTCCACACAGGTCTGACAAGGATTAGTTACATGCCTGTCTAGCGTGCTTAACGTGCCAGCGGCCGCCAGCCCGGGAATACTCGAGTCTAGGTCGCGCCCAAACCCACCCCTTAATATTTTGAAAATACGAATTATTATATTGCCGATGGCGGTATATGTAAACTGCTCATTGATATTGGGTCTGCCTAATTGATTCAAGCGCATTGCTTGCCAGCCGAGCCGTCCGGTCTTAGGGGAGCAGCTGGTGCCATCCGCCCCCATCTTCACAGCTTCTCGTAGGGACCCACCTTTTGGCCCAATCTGGTCTGGATCTGAACATGCATTTCTGTTCTGTTAGTTCGAATAATGTTATTTGTTTGTGTGTTCTTAAGTTGCCCAGCCTAAATCGGTCAGAACTCGGAGACCAGCTGTCTGTCCTTGCCAGCCAGAGACACAGCTCCTGGACCTGAAATGCTAGCCAAGGCGAACAGCAGCTAGCTGCGTGCAGGTAGCAGCGGTTAATGCCCCACGTTACAGTCGATCCTCTCATGTTTTTTCGGCTGAACATGCTCAAAATGGTGCCCCGTACTATTTAAAATATGGTAACTTTACGATGGGCCGTGGCAAAATGGCCTCAACCAGCGCCCCCCCCCCCCCAAAATCAGGCCCCACTGAGGCACGTTTTACGCGACGTATGTAGGGAAACTGGTGTATCATTTCCCAACCCAACATGCGAAGTTCGGCCATTGTAGATTAGTGTTATTTTCAGCGTTTTGCGTGTTGCATTTTTAACAAACTCCAAGAGAGATGATCGGATCGACTTCAGATTTGGTCAGTGTATTCTAAAGACCTTCATGATAAAAAGTTGTACTTGTGACTATGCTGTAAATGTCGTGGCTATGGCTTGGTGCCAAATTTCTACATTTTGCCATGGAACATTATCCAACCTGTAGTCCCATCCCGAACACATCTACATGCCAATATTCAGTCATACTCACAGTGCCACCTAGTGGAAACAGGAAGTAAGCCCTGTATGGCAATCATCACATGATTTACATGAAATTTTCATGATGTGGCCTACACATGATGTGACCGTACACCCCACCGCGAACAGAGTGCGAGGGCCTATTCATTGCTGCTTGCAGCTTTAATGTTGTCTGTTGCTGCTTCTGTTATTCCGCTTTGTCTACTTAGTTATTGTAGTCTAATTGTGGGACACATTGCTTACAGACTTGTGCCTGTATGAGCATCCAGCATCACTGAATGTCAAAAATGCTGAATGCTGCTAGTTTAGTCAATGTTGCTTTTTTATCCTTCATCTGAACTAGAAGTTGTAATTCTCAAAGCAGGTTGCTATTCAATGATAAATCCATGACACTCTCCATGGTGGTGAAATACCTCATTGTAATCCGCATTTTTCTCCGTTCCGCCCTCCCTGCCTATAGGTTGTCTATACAGCTTTTCCATGAGCACTTTTAGGGGCCACTACAGGTGGTTGCCCCCTCTGCAAGGAGACATCAGCGCCGCGTTTGTGTCCTGGTTTAAATCAGAAAACATATGGCGATTAAGGTCTAACTGAAATAACCTTTTTTGCAGTCAAAAATAACATTTTAAATGCATTAATAGTCTTGTACTATTAAAAGAAAGGAAAAGGTATTTCATCACAGGGACCTGTAGACTATATTGTGCTGTATGTCATGGGCAGATCATGTGTACGATTGAAGACTAAGGAACACAGCAGCATATAAACCAGGGCTGTCCAAAGCGGGGCCTGTGGACCAAAGTTGGCCACCATAAGGTTCAATTTGGCCCACCAAATGTTTCTAGCTTTTTTTCATAATCTGAGCACCGTGAGCTGTCATGACTCAGGAAACTGAGCAGGCAGCCGGATGACTGCAGTGATTTGATATAAATTGAGCTTACAGGTAGGTGCAGCTACAGGTAGGCTGGCAAGCACATATATAGGCAACCGCTCCAGGCAAAGAAAAAGCAAAAACCAACAGGAAAACAAATAGATGGCATGCCATCAACCTGCCAGGGACTGCAGATGAAAATGATCTCATATGGCTAAATCTGGCACATTTACATAGTGGACTTTTACCTTGTCCCTTTTAAATAAACTTCAAACAAAAAACAACAAAGGAACAAGGATGAACTGACTGTGCCTAAAATGGGTTGTACTTCAGATTTTTGTCCACATGAGTAAGCACTTTTTATTGAGTACCACCACCTCTGGTGAGCATGGCCGTACCCTACTCAGGGGTTACCAAGGTCTTGACTGCAGTATATTTTCCAAAAGGTATACAATTTAAGTCATTAAATAATTACCTAAAAATTACTACTTTGATGCTTTGATATGTTTCCCTTTTGGACCTCACTAATTTTAATTTTGGGGTTTGGTGGCTCCTTCAACGAGCTAAGGTGCATGATTAGATGCATGTTCATGGTTGTAAGTTAAGAATGAGACTTCAGCATGAGGCTAAAGTGGGTTGTTTAGTCTTGTGTTGTGTAACAGACTGCTGTCTGTCAGTGTGACCGTCTGCTCTGCTTATGATATAACAGTGATGGTATTGCATTACAAGTTCTCTGTAACAGATA